TTACGGAAACAGATCTGTTCGACATTATTCATCAACAAGATTGGATTACTCGAGTTGCTTTGTCATTGAGCCACGGGACTTGTACTGCACGAGCGCTGATGCTCGTGCGTTGCTGTGAACAGTATCTGCATGTCCAATGTGTGTTATCTCGCCTGGGTTCATTACAATGGCCTTACAAAAAATGTCGGCATACATTATCTGCTTTTCAAATTGTAAACCTTTCCTCGGAAAAAAAAAAAGAGAAGAAGGTATTGGTCCTCAGCAGCAATACAATGCCACTCTCCTCTGTACTGTTGCAGAACCACTCACGCACTATCCGTCAGTGAGTGAGGGCATACTCACACGAGGACTTTTTTCCACAAAGCTCTGGACGTGATTGCAGTCAGATTCATCCTGGTCTTGCCGTCATTGCAGTCAGATGCATTCTGGAAAGTGCTAGTGTGTGTATGCCCTGAGTAGGGCACTGAAACTGTGCAGGAGTGCGGTGGATGTCACAACCGGCACGGCACGGCTCCAACTTTGCAACGGTGCAACCGGCATCAAGCTTGCAGTGCTATTTGGTAAAGTCTGGCCAAGAAAGGTATATTAACGCGCTCTTGATGCCAGACAGCGGGCACATTAGGCTGGCCAAGCAGTCGAATCGTTTTTTTTCCCAGAAGGTGTCAGAAAAAAAAACCTCTTTTCAACAGAAATCCTCTTTTCACCACACTGCACAGTTGAGAAGCTGGGTTTTTCAATTTCCCAAGTATTCCGCCAACCATTTTTTTGCAAGCCTCGCACAGGGCTTTCGAAACTTTGGCAGCCGCAGGTGGATGGCAGAGGTTAATTCAACACGGCTGTTCAACACACTGCTCTCCCACTTATCAAAGTTAACTAGCTTCTATGGTCTACCTCTCTACAGGCTGTGTGGCGATCAAAAACTTGCGAAAATGCTATGTTCGACACTCGTGTGCTGTGGCGAGCCCCACACTATATGGCCATCAAAACCTTGCCAGAATGCTCGATTCTACAGTGGTGTGGCGAGCCCCAAAGATCCGATCTCGGCACCCACACACAGCTGCTGATTCAGAGGGCTCATCATGGGGCCTCACTGCACTATTGTAGTCACCCAAATCACATTGCAGAAAATGGTGAGCAGTTGGGATGTTCGCGAGGAGGAGAAAGGAATGACATTGCGGAAAATGGTGAATAGTTGGGATGCTTGCGAGGAGGAGAAAGGGCCTCACCGCACCACTCACCAAATGTCCAAAATGAAAATGAAATTCCATGAATCCTCTGCTGGAACATGGAAAGATTCACCGCCATACTTTTTGTCTTTTGTGCAGTTGGTGAGTGATGCGACAAGGCCCAAAGATAAGCAAGGGGCAAAGGTGGGATGAAGGTTCGACGAAAGGAAGATGGAGCGGTACAAAGAAGGAGGCGGCGATTACGGGATGCACATAATACAAGACATAGAGAAGAGCACCCTGTACATGACATGGCCCATGAGCAATTGAGATCAGAAGTGAGGGAAACTGGGGCCATGCCCCACTTGCAAAGGGTTTGGTTTAGGTTTGGAGTTGTGCCACAGCGTAGATGCATAAGCAAAACGAGGCAGCTGTGGTCTGCGGCCGTTAGATCATGGGCTTCCTGAATTGATCAGCTTATCTATTGTGAAATGGAAAAGAGAATGGGGGGGGGTGGGGAATGCATCAGAGTTTACCTGAAGACTGATGAACCAACCACAGCATTATTCAGATGCATGAGCCACCAGAGGAACAACACCCGGCAAATGAGACAAATGAGGACTTCCGGGTTTTGTTCCTCTGATGGCTCATGTATCTGAAGAATGTTGTGGTTCGTTCGTCAGTACTCATGTACACTGTGGTAGTTTCTTCTTCATGTTCTTTTCAACTTCAGGATAGATAAATTCCATTGAATCCATCTATTTGGGCAGCCCATGATCTAAGCGGTTCAGATAATGAGCTGCCTCATTTCTCTTTTGCATCTGGGGCGTGGCACGACTGCAATCCAATTCCAAACGTCCACAAATGGGTCATGGCCCCCTGAGGCGTATAGGGGAACATGACCTCATAGGGTGTCATGAAAGAAATTCATTTTTTTCTTTTTCGTTCTGGTTTCTTCCTAAGGTCAGATAGGTTATGGTGGCCGGGTTAGTGCAGAGCTGCGCTATTTTTCGCGCCCGCGCCCACGGCCGTCCTCGCCCATGTCAGCGCCCGCGAAGTGCTTCCGAATTGGATTTCGAAAGAGACAGCGCCCAGCGCTGTCGCGCCCCACGACAAAGAAGAGAAGCCACCATAGCTATCTTGGGAAACACCACGCGCATGTGCCCACGACCAGAGTACGTCCAAGTCTGTTGCATACCGTATAGGTGCAGACCAGAACAAGAACCGACCTTTCAATACAAAGTATAAGATA